TTCTTGACTGCACCAAAAAAACCTATATAGAATCCTCCTCCAGGCTGTCACTTTGAGGCAATGGGTCTTGCCTTGATATGTTATTTTCAAAGAACTAATACCAAACTCCCCATCATCAGACTCATTCATGTTCAATGCAATAACAGGGTTTTTGACAAATATAATGCATTTTCATTGTCAAGCTGAAAAGCTGATMTAAAAACGTGCAGAGTACTATGAAAGTGTTTTCAGCTTGAAGGAATGGATGCCACAGTGCTTTTTGTTATCTTTTGGAAGCAGAAGTGACAGGTTTATACAAGATTGTCAATACAGGAATAGAGAATTMATGAAGCTTTCCTCTGAAATTTGGAGTAGATAGATAAAAGTAGATAGATTTGCTATTTGTTAGACAATTGTGAAAACTTAGCTGCTTAAAAATTTCAAAGTATATGAATGGTTGAATACTAAGAAGCAGAGCTTACTATGATTTCCTCTTCCTTAGTCTCTTTCCTGAAAGCTTCAGAATAACTTAGATTAGAAGGGATCAAACATGTAGATCATCATTTATCAAGTTGGCTTGACCAAAGTATGGCAAGTACTGCCTGTTGTTAAAAATGACAGTRTATTTGTCTGACATGCCTTTGCATTTCAGAATTCATTTTGGGAAAATATTGCAAATTTGAAAAGCTTAGATCATTATTAAAATACTTTTTCCTAYTTTGGTACATTAATATTTTCATTATGTTATTTAATTCTCTTTAGAGCTGCTTTTAAAAAATTAATGTTCTAAATTGTATTTGGCTGTTCAAAGAAGTGTTCAAGGGCTCTGAGCAACCTTTTCTAGTTGAAGGGCTTCCTACTCACAGGAGGGGGATTGGAACTCTGTGGTCTTCAAGGTCCTCTTCCATCTATGAAACCATTCTGTAATTCTTTGAAGTGTTCCCTACCTGTGTCACTGCATTGGTATAATTTTTAGGTGAGTCTTGCTTGTAGTATTTGTCATTAATGTGTTGATTAAAAAGATATTGGTTATTGGGCATATGGTAGAGACTGGGCAATTCCCAAAGATGCAGATGCTATGGCTTGATGATATGGATTCTAACTAATGTGGGGAATGGATTGTATTTTTAATTGCACCATAAATCTGTGGAACTCTTAAGTGGAAAGTACATTGCTTTTGGAGRTGAGAATAGTTGTGCTAAAAGCAATAAATGCAGTTTTGCAGAAGAATTKGGCAAGTGCTCTTCAAGTGATAGCTTTCAACTCTTTTAGATTACTTGCTGGCKTCAAATAGTTACATAGTCCCAAGGCAGACAATTGTACCAGGGTGTTTCTGCATATTTGAATCCAGTGAGGCTTGGTGATTCTGATTATCACAGTTGTCTGGCCCAAATAGTTTRGTAGTGTCACTACTGCAGATAAATAAAAGGTTTTGAAGGGCAGTCAGACAGATTTTACAACATGACAACATACTGTCACTAAGTTCAGTCTCGTTTGTTGAAAGCATTCTGCAATTTGTGTTTGAATGCACACACATACTTGGCTATATAAAGCTCTCAAAAGGAGTGTAATAAAACTTCAGGTGATAGCTGTTCAGCAATACTGAAGACTTCTGCTGCCTCTAGGTGTGAAGTCTATTTACACAACTGCTTTATCTGTAAACATGACAGCAAGAACAAGTGTTACAGCCATGACTGTGTGACAACATCAAACTTATATGTATTGATGGGTCCGCATTGTATTGAGAAAGCGCAAGCTGCCAGCTCCCAGTTTATCTTTCTGCTGTAAATAAATTGTGGTATTTGAATATAAGAGAAGAGAGAAAAAGTTGTTCCCTGGAACTGGAGATTTCATGGAAGTCTAAACATCTGTAATATTGAAAGCACATGGTACGTCTGGAGACTTACTGTGCAGCTGTGCTGTCAGTCCTGGTGGTCCATCCAGACCTTACAGCTAAACTCTTAACTTCAAGATCAGAAAGTATAGGCAACTGGCCTGTGACCATATTTAGAAGGAGTGTGTAAAATAACTTGTTAGGTACAAACCCAATTATTTGGAAGTAGCTGCATGAGAAGGAGCTCTAACTGGAACAGTTGACAAACACAATGATGAGTTTATTGTAGTCCTGCTAATAAGCTTCCAACATGGTTGTTTAAGTCAGACACCCAACATCGTACTAGCTACGCTGTTGTTTTTATCTGTGACATGGTCTCAGGCAGTAGAATAGGATGTAAAGATGTATATGATAGTTTTGGCATCACTTCCACTGAAATATCACTTCTTTGGTATTCACATAATAATTTTGAACRTGTTTATCTTTTCCCTAGATGTGTTTTGTTAAGATAAACAGTAATAATTATTTCAGTACTCCAAGTTAACTATATTAATTCATGTTTAATATGAGCATCTTAACTACTGGTGATTAACGGTATTAAAGTTGGTAAAAAGGAAAAGAAGTGTGGCTGGTGGGTCATAGGGTTTCTGTGGCTGTATAAGCAGARATTATTTTAAAATAGTCCTGCATTGTTGCTAGATTTACAGTCTGAAGAAAATTGCCATGACGCTACCTTATTACCAATTTCTATTTTCAGACCAATTTGTCAAGCAGATCCTCCTTCTATTTGAGTGTTCTTTTTTTTTTTTTTTAACTTCCTTTCTCCAGTACAACCCAATTTAATAAACATTTCAGTTAACTTTTTACAGGAAAAAAATTGCAATACATATCACACATTAATTTAGAAAAAAAAACAAAAAACAAAAAACAAACAACAAAAGCAAAACTAACTCTTTTGCAACTTTCACAATTTTATTCCCATGCCTCACTTTTAAACTATCCGATTGCATGTGGATAACATTCCTAACCCTTCTGTAAGGGAAGGCTCATAGACTCCTAGAGAGAAATGTTAAGGTTTTGTGGTTTTGTGGTTTTTGTTTTTTTTTACTTTGAAAGTGAGGAAAATCACAGAGGAATTAAGAAGCTGAAGGGGTAAGTGTGCAAATATAAAGGACATGTGGCTTCCCATTTTCAAAAAAACTTCAGGAACTTTCATTTTTTAAAAATAACTTCCTTATGTGCTTTGGGTCAGCGACTTGTGTTACACAGGAGGTGCTGGCAGTAGAAATAGCTCTAGGCAAATGTGATTACCTGCCAGCAACAAGGGAGGGTAGGAATGCTGTGAGGAAATCCAACTCAGTAACTGTAGCTGCACTAAGTGGTAATTGGCATTCCTTGTGCATAGGTATGTCGTATGTAAATACTGCTCATTCGGGTGAGCAGCTATCAAATGCAGAATTTAAACACCAGCTCAAATTCTAGAGTTAAGTGAGCAGAGAAGAGCATGGTGGGAAATGCAGCTTCTTTTACTAAGGCAGATATTTGAAGGAATTATTTTATCAGCCAAGTCCTCAGTCATATACTGTATACCTTATTTCAAGATCTGTAATTCTGATTTATTTCAGGCAATTAATTGAAGACATAAACAGTATCACTTTGTATTTTTGTGAAATGCATCTCCTACTTGTTTATGCAAAGTTGAGGATTGTATTAGAATGATGTCATAAAAAGAAGTTGAACTCTTTAGCAGAACTGCATTTGCCGTGGTGTAGGTTATCATTATTAAGAGTGCTGGTACCACTGAAGAATGAAGTCATGAAATAAACAAATCTGTGCATACCTTGTATTTTTGAGTGGAATAATTGAGAAAAGCTTACAACCATTGGTGCTTAATCTTCAGGTCAGTGGTGAGGGTGGGTTCACAGCCATCTAAGCTTTGTACAACCAGTGTGCATGTTATTACTTGTGACTAATGGTATGCTCAGGCTTGTGGATTTAAGAAAACAGACGTATGGAAATATTTTCAGACATAATTTTTTAAAATAAAGATTTAAAAAGTACAGTTAAAAAATTAGTTCCTAGTAAGTCTTCTTAGCATTGAAATACAGTTCAAATGCAAGAATAGAAGAAACCCAAGATTTATCTGCATGTTTTGTATTTGTCTACTACTCCTACTGTGTACATCTAAACACAYAGACTCAATTTTCATCTTTGCATTTGGGAAAAAAAGGGTTTTCAGTGGGAACCATGGCTGCTTGAATCTATGTTGGTTTGCTGTGAAGTATTTAGTTAAATTATTAGCTTTTTTAGGACTGGTTGTACCCTTAGTTAGCAAGTGTGTATGTTTAGGTGGAAAACAGTTTTCCACTGGGAAACTGGGAACAAAAGTTGATAAAATCATTGAACATTGCTATGTTGATAACTTTGTTTGAGACACTGCTTTGACTAAAATACAAGACAATTTGAAGTAGTGTTATTTTAATGTGGTGTAAATAGAGGCAGTTGTATTGTCTGCAATAATCAGATTGAGTACAGAGAAAGCTACTATAAAGTCTCAAACTCCAAATGCCTCTTTTTTGATATATACATGATATAAAAATACCCCTGTATTCTTCTGGTATAGTCCTAAATTTTTGTTGGGAAACTGGAGTTTCTCATCTCTGCCATGACTGTTGCATAATACATATATTTGCTTGCATAGGCCTTAATATGTTGACTTGTTGGTCTTTTGTCTGGTTCTGTGGATCTGCTGTATGTCAAGTATGCTATTTACATTTTTGTTACCAATGTTTGAGTAGCAACATCAGAAATACTTTTGTAAACCATCTGTAATAACCTGAATASAAGATACAGTACAAATAGCACTACAGACTGTTTTCTTTACAAGAGAAAGTGGAATAGTTTAACTTAGTAGAGCAAAATAAATGATGGAATGTGTCTTTTTTATATTTGATGTGAAATTTGAYCTCTTCCAAAGACACAGAAGTATCCCTTAAATAATTATTCTTGGAGTGTATTTGAGCTGTCATTGGAACTTACWGTGGATTTGCCATTTGCATGTTGACATGCATTCTACAGTAATAACTTTTATTGTTACTAAGTGTATATGAGGTTAACATTTTGGAAATAATGTTTTGTCATTAATTTAATCAAATTTTCTAATAAAGCTATGTTGTTTTTTTTTAAGGTGAGGTTGCAGTGCAAACTGGAGATCTRTTGCCATGTAAGATTTGTGGAAGGACTTTCTTTCCAGCAGCACTGGTAAGTGGTGTGAGTACTGTAGGCTTTCAGATTTTGACAAGTTGATGAGAAAGCTATGCAGTAGTTACTATAGCTAAATAAAATAGATTTAGGTGCTTTGTTTGGGTAAGGATTTTGGGGTTTCCTCCTCCCCCCCCAGTAATTACTGATTCCAGTTGTCTCATTTTTGAAGCGCCKTAGAAGGGAGTCAATTTTATTTCAAGATTCCATCATTTTCTGAAATACATGCCTCTAAAAACMTCTTCTCTAGGGTTACAGAATCAATCCTTGTCTTCTGAAGTTTTAAGTGTCATCTAGTAGATGGAGTGTTTTTTAAATCATCTCCAAAACTGTTCTCCATTGTTAATAGAAATTGGACTGTCCTTAAATGAATTTCAGACACCTGTGGTGTCAATGCAAGTGCTGCCTACCTATTATCAATTTTTTTATGTGCGAGGAGCAAATATAGGTGCCTTCTAATTTTCTTCTTCACTATTATCCATGTTTTTGTGGCTGTGTATATGCATTTGTGAATTCCTGTAGTTCTGTTTTAAAGGTAGATGATGSTGTAAATGTTTGAGTGAAAATAGTCTGAGCTTAGTGATCAAGAGTTGGGCCTTTTKTGCGAATTTTTATATCAAGAAATAGGGAAATAACATGTTAATAACTTCTGTTTTCAAAACTAAGTTTTGTACTCTCCTTTTATTTTGCTTCTTCTTGTAGAAAAAGCATGGACCCATTTGCCAAAAAACTTCTTCCAAGAAAAGGAAGACATTTGATTCCAGTCGACAGAGAGCAGAAGGAACTGACATTCCCACAGTAAAACCTCTTAAGCCACGGGTATGTTATAGTTTACTCTGAGTATGAACATTTTAGACAAACTATGTATGCATTTTAATAAGGCTTATTTCTGCTGGCAGTTTGTGTTAATTAGATCAACTCAGATCTGGAAGAATTCTGTGATGTTTTGTACCAAAATAAGGCACATACTTAGCTTCAAGTAAAAACTTTAAACATAGCTTTCTTTWTTGCTTCTTAGCCAGAACCACCAAAAAAACCTTCTAACTGGAGGCGAAAGCATGAGGAATTTATAGCAACTATACGAGCAGCCAAAGGACTTAATCTTAAAGACGGTGGAAAACTCCCTCCACCACCTCCACCATCATATGACCCTGGTATGTAAAACAGTCAAGTTCCTTTGAGTTTTTTTTTTTAAGGTAATGAGGAGAAATTTGAATTGAAAATGAATTTGTTGGAATACAACATTCACAAKGTCTTGAAGATGATTTGGCATCCCTTGCAGATCCTGGGCTGTGACTGTGGGTCTGCCTGGCTCATACCCTGTGTAGCTTTCAAAGCCCATGAATTTGTTTTTAATGTGTGGAAAGGTAGCTGTGGCCAACTTGCAGCTTKCTACTGTTTTGTAAAGCACAGGCTGGATAAATTGTTTCAATACCTCTTTTGTGCTCACATCAGTGGAGCTGCTCAGAAATAGCAGACTGCCTTTTTAATTAGATGGCGCGCACAGCATTTTTATTATTTATGTTGTGGGAATGCACTTCTGTGTTTTTCAAATTAAATCTCTTAATTGATTGCTGAATTCATGTTTTGTTTCATGTATGCAGTGTATTCCTTAATGCTTATATGATCCTTCCTCATGTGGTGGGGGTACTTGTGTTTTGGGTATGTGAGATGTGTGGAGTATGTATCATCAAGGGAGCGACAGTCCTTGGGTCCTTTGAGAACTGAGACTGGTAAAGTGTTCAAGCAGTCTGATGTGAATGAGAAGGAAATACACTTTTCATTTAACTTCTGGGATAGTAGGTTGGAGAATGTATTTCTTCCTCTTGTCCTAAGAGSTAAACCATTTGATCAGCTTAATGGCTGCTTTCAGAAAGATTGGGAAAAATGGAAAAAAACGTGTGTTTGCTTCTGCCTGTCTGTGGTCAAATGAGGATGTGAAGTGTTCTGGAAGTGTGTTAGTCCAGTATTGTAATKGTGCAGTCACTGTAAGAAGCTGTTGTATTGTTCAGCATTGTGTACACACAATCTTGTAAAGGTATATAGCTAATCTTAAAAAGTAAAGCCTTCTTAGAGCAAAGCCAATAGCTAATGCTCTGAATGAGAATCATAAGGCTTGATCATGGAAAGAATTAATAATCTGTATAGTATATCTATATCTAGTTTTATAGGTTCTGAATTACAGGCAGAAAAYCCCAGAACTAAATGTAGCTTGGAAAAGCTACTAACATGGTGTTCCCTGGGTTCCAGACATTGAAAATGAATTTGAAGTGAAGGACATAATTCTATTCAGCCTATTGAAAAGTGGTGGGAAATAAAGGGAAGATTACTGTATCTCTGTTTCTTTTCCTTCACTTTTTTACTTTTTTCAAGCTTAGTTTTGCTGGTTTTAGTCTCCTGGCTTCATCCTGCTGCAGTGGGTAAGACTTAGGAAGAGGAAACCAGGAATGAAGAGATGATGCACAAAATCATGAGTGCTCTTCTTATAGAGCAGGGGCAGCTATTGTTGCTCCTTTTTTACTTTTAATGTAGGAGAGAGGGAAGATTGTGCATGGTACCATGAGTGTATCCATCCTCTCCTATGCAGCTCTGTTTTTGGAATGCTTATTATTAACAATGAGTCTTTTTCCTTTTAATGGAAAGAGTCTTGTATTCATGTTTTCTACTCAACTGCTCTGTGTTGGCAAATAAGCAGTGTTGTTGCTTTTTTAATCTCTTCAACTTTTTCTGAGGAAGCACAGAGTAGCATCAGGATATTAAGAAGGACCTAAAGTCACCCTGAGYTTGACTGAGTATGTGTACTGCCTCTTATTTTGATTAGTTTTTATTTTAGAAGGCTTACATGGAATCCTAGTTCTTCTGGACAGTATGAGCAGTACTTTCAGATAGCCAAGTGTCTGACTGGTATTACATGTTTTACAGAGGGGTGAAGATACAATTCCTGATTCTTAAGAATATACATTMATCCTCTACAGTCTGATACATTTTGGTTTTGTGAGCTTTGAAAGTTTTCTGTGGGAACTGATCTCTGCATCAGCCAGAAATGGCATATTATCTAGGGGCTTTCATAGTGGCTTTATTAACTTTTTTTTTTTTTAAATTTTTTTTGTAACAATTTTGGTTTGACTACATAGATATTGCAACTCTGTTTTGAGTTTTTGTCTCTTAAGRTATAGTTGATGTTTGAGTGATTTGACAGTAGCAGACTATTTGTAAAATAAATAAATAAAAAATTGTTGCTGTTACCCCATGAGATTCCCATGCTTTCACTTCTCTGTGTTCTTCCTGTGTCCTTAGCTCACATTTCTTGGGTCACAGTTCATGGTTTGGTGGTCATTACATCAATTGATTTACTCAGAATTGTTTTTTTTTTATTTTTAAAGGAATAAGTATTTTATGCCAGATCTACCATGTTTGGACTAGTAACATGTAAACCAAAATTTATTTTAGATTTTGTAATTCCTAATTGTAATTTTGGAGGCAGTGACTGTTGAATTTCACCTCATTTTCTTCAATACATTTCTGAAGTGACCTAGAAACTGATTTAACCTGCTTTGCAGATGTCAAGCTTTTCTGAAGTTGATGCTTACATGGTTTTAAATACTCTAATCTGGAGCATACAGCATCTCTAGACACTGAAATATTTGTGTGAAATTGCAGTCCAAACATTTCATTTTCCAAGGGCACCATATTTTAAGGTGTATATTTCCAGCATAAGGATGATGTACCTTTTAATATTTTAAGCATTGTGTTAGCCATTTCTGGTTTTTCCCCAATGAAAGTAACATTTCCTGCATGTAATACTGTTTGCAATATGACTAAATTAATCTTGAAAAGTAATACAGCCACCAGTTACTTTCTTTTGCATGTCTCTAGAGAGAGATCCTAAATTTGGCTGAATTTCTTCTGATTCTTTTCATTTGTTAAAATTTTGATTATTTTTTTTAATCATCATTTCCAGTACAACAGTATTTCGCAGTTCTTTCAAAATTACCAGAGGAAACATACTTTTTTTGTCTTTTGCTGCTTGTGTGTGCAACGTTTTAATGTATTCCCATATCTTGAACTGAAATGTTTGTGATGTTATGAATGTTTTGGTTTTTCGTTTAGCTTCTTCTCTACCTCATTTCAGCTGGTATCTCTGCCATATCCTTGTACCTCTTTGGTTACCTTTTCTGCAGAATAGCATCTCTTAATGTATTTCTGATTTTGCTTAGGTTGTTTCTGGTCCTCAACTAGTCTTATTCTWACCCATCAAATGAGAAACATTTTTTGTGTTACATGTGGAAAATATTCTTTTATCCAGCGATATGTATTTTCATTTTCAGATTCAAGAAGCCGTAATTTCACCCTAAGGAGGGGATGATCTTTAAAAGATTTTAAAACACTCTMATTTTAAAAACATATTATTAATGTTAGATTTTTATGTTTTTAAGATTACATTCAGTGTCCATACTGTCAGAGGAGATTTAATGAAAATGCAGCTGACAGACACATCAATTTCTGTAAGGAGCAAGCTGCACGTATTACTAATAAGGGGAAATTAGCAGCTGATACCAAAGGGAAGCTTCCTACTCGAACACAGGTGAGCCATAATACCTTCCTTAACTTGTAACTTTCAAGATAAAATCAAACTTGTTCAACAGTGTGTTGCTTTTAAATGGAATTAACTATTTTATTCTGTAATTTTATTATTTGCATTGACTGAAATTAGACACTAAGCATGGATGCTTTCTTTAACTAAGAGATCTGTAAGTCAGATGGCAGCAACTGCAAAGCCAAAACCCTTTATAAATGTAACTCACAAATGTGCAAATGACAGGTAAAGATGGCAGCAGGAAATAAAGATGTGTTTTTGTAAAGAAAGTTGAATTCCTGTTGTGCTATTTTCTGAATCAAATTAAAGCCTGTTCCTTAAGGGGCAAATAAAAGTATCTGACTCCAGGACAACTGACARCAGTGTTTTGGCTAATTAGAGGGATTCAGATGTATTAAGGAAACAAATGAACATTTTAAGTGCATGTGTGTTTTCTTYTGGTGGTAATGCTCCTTTCTTCTGGAAGCTGTGAAGAATTAAACAGACACAAGCAGTTACTTAGTGATTTTGCCACAGTATTTTGAATCAGTGCAGGGTCTGGTCCAGACCACACAGGTGATTTGTATTTGAAAGACAAAAATAATTCTGTCCTTGAATATTCTTTTTTAAATTAATTAGTAATGAGATGATACTTCTAATCTCGTGAGACAGCTATGGAAAAAGATGATCAAAGCTCTAGAAAAGCAAAAAATGCAGRAAGACATAAGAGTTGAACAACAAAACAAAGCCCCTGAGTTAGAGGATGTTTCCTGCTAGTATCATCTGTAAGTATTAGAAAACTGACTATCAGAAATTATTTGCATGTTCCCATACTAGAAACAGTTTACCTAGTAGGAAATCATCATCTGTTCTCACACAATACCTGAAAGAACTACCTGTTGTGTTATATAGATAGCTTGATTTAATTGCTTAAATTTCTAGGTTGTATTTTGTTACAGTACAAACCTGCTGCAGTTAAGAAGATGCCTTCTGTAGGATCAACACCATCACCATCATCACGCTTACCACAGCCAAGTGGTGTTAGCAAAACTGTTGTAGGTATGAAATTATTGTTATTAACTGTTCTATTCCCTTTCTAATTATTAGTTCTCAAACTCTGCAGTAAAAATTGATGGTTTATTTGAAATAGTGATTTGTAGAATCTCATTTAAAATCAAGTTGGAAGGGGCACTGATTACCATCTATCTAAAAAGACTAGCGCTTAGGACACTGGTTTATATATCAGATCAATTTTTTTTTTTTAATTGAATATGAAAAATCCTTTGGTGTAGTAATGCACAATTGTATGGAATACTGATCTCTCACCTGGATTTTTTCTGATGCTTAATTCTGTGCATCAGAAACTAATTTCTATGATGAATATGATCATGAATTGGTGAAAATAYATAGTCAAGGCATGTATATTATAATTATGCAAACAGTAGTCTAATTTGGGTTTCAGATATCATCAGATACCAAACATGTTCTGTTTGTACATACTTGGACTTTCCCTTGTTTTCTAAGGAAAGTAATTGAGATACAGTATGTTTTCTTAGAATAAAACACTATGTCTCAATTACATATTTTCTATAAATCTTTTGAAACATAGTTGCTTTTTGTATTGATACTGACTCATATCTTTGTATTTCTAAAACTCTTGTTTTAAATTTTACAATTAAATTTTTAAAATAAATTGTATCATTTCAGCAGCAAAATCTTACCCTTTCTCATATTTTCATGCTTGCTTTCAACTGCAAGGTGCCCCTTCAAGTAAAGCTGGATCCAGTGGGAGCAAAATTCAGACGTTATCACCAGCTCATAAAAACTCACTGGGAATGGTGAACCCACAAGCAGGGTAAGTTCCATTTAATGTTGTCATTTGTGTTTTATTTCATATTTATGTTGTTCTAGTTCTAGAAGTCTCTGTGGTCTGTTTCATTTTAAATTTTTTTTCCTATAAGCTTCAGAAGTACAGTGTTCTGTATTTATCCATTATCTGTAAATACAGCTAATGTTTAAGGGAAAATTGGAGAAGACAAAGGTGAGTTTTATCAAGTTGAAGTAACAGCAGAGGAAGTCAAGACATAAAAATAGATAAAAAGTATAGTAWAAATTACAGAATAGGCAGAAGTTGTTTGAGCAATGTATTTTTCCCTGGTGAAAGTGAAGAGACTTAAAGCAGAAAACATTAGGTATAATTTCCTATACTTCATGGAAATAGAAAAAAGAGGCTTCTGCCAAGACTACGAGCCAGTTGTGACCRGATCTTCTCTCTTAGCACAAAAGGAAGGATGCTTTCTCTCTTCCCTTTCTTGTCTTAAGAGGCACAAATGAATAAGCACAAACAAGGCAAATGGAAACCAGTGCACTTAAAACCACGGGAGGGCCACATGAAGATTATTAGAGTTCAGACTAAGTGCTGATGTGATCAAGGTTTTGAGTCATACTTTGCTGGAGGGGTAGACAGTTCACAGAATCTCAAAGAGATGTCTATGGAAGAGATGGAAGTAAAGTAGTACAATTCCTCAGAAATCTGAGGAGTACCAAGGAGCACTGGGTGAACAACAAAACTTAAGGGAAGGGATTGCAGGTATAACGTTGGTGATTGAAAAATGTCTTATTCATATAAAAATGAGTATCAGATTGATGAAGACTTTATAAATGTGGAGAAAAACAATGGCTTAAGTTTGTGAGGAAGAAAAAGGRCATTCTGAAGGAACTCATGGGGATGGACAACAATTACACAAAACTAGAGATTTTTAGTTTATCACTGTCAAGTTTTACAAGTTACTCATGAATATGAATTACAGCTCTGTCATGCTTCCCTCCTAATGCCCTGCAGCATCACTATTAAGTTCTGTCCCTTCTTGCCCTACCTACTCATGCTAACTGTTTCAGAAACAGATCACATGCAGAGTCCATGAGGTTGACAGAAGTATTTTTTTATTATTTCCCCCCTGTCCTGGTGTCTTGCTAGTCTTTGATCAGCTTCACTACCATTTATAGGCAGCTATACTTCAAGTGTCAGAAAATCCCAGCCTCTTATTCACTAACTGATTTTTTTATTTCTCCATTTTCAGAAGTTGAATTAACACCTAGTGATGCATGGTAAACAAACAGGTCTGCAAACCCCAGTAAAAAAGAAAGCTGAGATAATTTGAAGGCATGTTTCTGAGCCCAATGGTGATTCCCAGGTGTCTGGGACAGGCTTTTTCCTGTTGATAGTTTCTAATTGCAGTGTGTGTTTTTCTGTGAGGGAGCACTGATAACAAAGGCTGGCTGTGCATGGATAAGGGGGAGTGAGGCTGGTATGGGGGCCTGRGTGCATTTCTGTGCTTCCCTGAGGCATCTTTCAGTTGCTAAGCCTCACTCCAGCCCCTGCAAGGTAAGTGATGGCTTAGCTCACAGGTTTGCCCAAACAGCTTCATGAATTCTCCACAAATTCATGCCATCTCTGCATCTTGACATAGTCTGGCAATTTTCCACAATTGGTTACTGGACTTTGTTTTCTGTAGTTTTCCRTTTTCTCCTCTGTTGCTTGCAGAAAGAACTGTGACATGATGAAGCCAAATGGCATTTAGGGAGATGTTTGTCCAGGTTCTTGCTATTAATGCATTCTGCTAGGGACAAATAGATGGCTTCTGGTTGGCACAGCTCTAGATAATGATCTCTGCTGCAAAGCAGTAAATATGAGTTTGGTTTATTGCCTGCACAATTTCCAGATTTTAAGAATATGGGTGTGATGAGTGTGTTTCTGCCTTTCTCATTGCTCTAAAAAACTTGTTCTCTTCTGTTTTCCCAAACTAACCCTTAAGATACTTGCTGCTCATACTAACTGGTCTTCTCCAGGTAGCTGTTAGATGTGTCTTGTTCCGAAGTATTGTGTCTGTGACCTGGCATTTATTTCTTTTTCTCAGCTTCATTGCATTTGTTTCTGGGCACAAATTTGTCAGAAGTTAGGTTGAAGCAAAGACCTGTAGGAGCAGTTGCAATATGGAAGTTAGGTACCTCAGCTTGGTCACTGATTACAATTTTGGCCTTAATCATCTCAACTTTGGCCTTAGTATTGGCATTTTATTCTGTTGAAATACCTACAAAATTGTACCAGAATAGGGTCAGAGACACTAACAGTCAATGTCCTGGATGAGAGTGAAAATAGTTAATGCTGCAGTGACAGATTTTAAACATTAAAACACCTGGTAATTTAGGTTATAGCTAAATGCAGCTGGRATTATTTTCTAAAATAGAAGAACTTTTGAACATTAACCTTCAGTAGGATTCAACAAGATTTCTTTCACTTCATTTATGATTTAAACCAGTAAAATGACAAGGCTTAGCGTGAGATCTGGGATTCGGTTKTACCAAAGTCAGACACAGCTTATGCTGTAAGACAAGATGTCATGCTCTTTTTTCTGAGTTGTCAGTGAATGTGTTGTGTGGGGATTGTTTTRAGGACATTCCATTTTAAATGAAATGGTAAGCAATCACTTTTTTTTTCCTCCTTGACAAATATTAAAGAGCCCACACACATTATTTTGACCAGGGCAGATTCCAGGCTTTCCTGTAAGAAAAGTCCTTCAGTTTGCACTAAGGGAAACTGTAACTCTTGGGGGTGGATTTTTGTGTGTTATTTAACTGTGTAACCTTCCATCTTTGCCTAGGTTGTTGTAATTCTGGATTTGCCAGAGAGGTGATAGTAGAGAKGCTTAATAGTAGAATTACAATTACATTATGCGATATCAAGGATGAATTATATGTGCGTTGGAGAGGGCGATGTGATGGGACACCCCCGCTGCCGGAGCCGTGGTCGCTGTTCCCTGCAGGGATGCGTGGAGGGACAGGAGGTGACGCAGCGCCGATCCCGCAGTGCCGTTCGCGGCCGCCAGGTGGCGCTGGCGCAGCGCTGGGTGGCACCGGGGCCGGGCCTCCCCGCGGGTGGCTCCGTTGAGAAATTCGCCTGTGAACCTCATGTACAATATCGCAGCAGACATTTTTATTTTGTATGAGCAGAAATGGAACCCTATTTTGTGAGCTCGCGTATTGTAAGTTGTTTTTACGATGTGTCTTTTTTTTTAAAACAGCTTTGAATTCTCCTCTTCTACTTCCCAAGTAAAGGACCAGTGAGAGAGCACAGCACRATATCATCAATATAAGCTGTACTAGTGCCAGTGAGGCTTACTTTGTGCGTGTAGATCAGGATGTGGAGGCTGAGTTCTGCTGTGAGTTTTCTTTTTCTGCCTGCACAGAGCAAGAACTCAGACAGTTCTTCCAGYATGAATGAAAAYGTTGMATAAGGGCATAATTTCTGKGCCCTAGAGGTGCACCTGAGCGTGCAAGAGTAGCATGTAACTATTGTATGTAGTCAGTAGGAAAATCTTCATTCATTTGGGTGAAAATAGATTTTTATTGTTTTGATATTGTGGAGCTAAGAAGAGGAAAATGAATTCTACATAAATTGTCATTAGGCTWATAATTTAATGTCATTTTATGAACCCACGTTTGATATGTATTTTATGGTGGTATAGAGTCTTGCACTGTCTTACATTTCTTGAGAGGTATGGCACTTGTAGTAAGCTAGAAGTAATCGGATCTTGGGGAGAAAAAATTGTGTAGGTTCTTCCTAACCTGAGGATAAAGCAAACAGATTATCTCCGTGCCCACATKCAAACTGTTTTGTCTGGCAGAACTTGACATCATTATTTGTAGCCAGCCAGGGGTCTTTTGGTGTACAGATTAATTGTCTGTACATGTTTCATTTGTGAACAGTTATGCTTGTTTTTAATGGRTCTTGGAAAATTATATGATATATTTTAATATGGCAAATGAACCCTTAAAATATAAATTACAATTTATTTTCTATTTTGGGGATAAAACATACAATTTAATGTTAATGTTTCCCTCCTGGGAATCATGTCTGTTAGTGATAAATCTACTAGTGTCTTACAGCTCAAATTCAAAATGAACAGCACACCAAATCAATAACAGTAAATTTTTAATTCCACTTAAATATTTGCTGTAAAGCATTTGTAACCTTTAAAAACATTATCTTTTTAAAACAGTTTGTTCCTTTTATGAAGACYATAACTTACAGGGCTTTKTTCAATKAAATCAAGATAKGTAAGGAGTTGTSTTGGAYRTCTTTGCATTTCAAAAGATTTGTGTGATCGTGTTTTTTCATTAGAACGCAAAAGGACTGTCAGTTTTGGGTTTTTGGTTTTGTTAAGGTGTGAAAGAATAGTATAGTTCTTTGACAGTATTATGACTACTAGGMTATTTCTTTGGTTTTCTATTCTGTATGTGCCTGGAGTTCACAGATTATGCTGATGATTTGTTAAAGGTTCAAAAGTAACTAAGAAAATCAGGTTGAGTAAGGTTACGTGTCTTGCAGTGTCAAAGACCTCAATCTTCCTTTTCAGTTTCTTGGAAAGTATATTTAAAGAGTATATATTGGGTCAAACAGGAATTAATTAAGCATTTCCTGAATTAATTAGTTTGAAYTAGAACATCTGTTTGGGAGGCTTTTTGTAGGTTTTACTTTATGATGAAAAGATCATAMAAATACAGAACTTGAAGCTCTATTTTTTAATATAAGTTGTGATTTCTGAAAAGCTMATTTTCCTTATGATGCTGTGAGGGAGGGATTTTTTTTATTGGTTGCCTTTTTAAAAAATGTTTTAAAATTTGACTTTTGGTTTATTCTTTTTAGTTTGCAGATGTTATCCATAACAATGAAAAAAAAAGTTTTGAAGTATTGCCTGTGTATATAATGCTGTCTATTGTCAGTGGGGTTTTTGTTACTAAAACAAAGCTGGGTTATTTCCAGACTGTCATCTATTCTGCCTTTACAAAACAAAC